GCGACCGCGATTAGAAAATTTAGCTTAAGTCTTTATTTGAATTAATTTTCTGTCACTTTTCAGATGTTAGGACGAGACCAGGACTTGAACTCTGGCTATCCGAATGGCAGCATGGAATGCTAGCCACTTGACTACCGCGGCATATACTCAGATATCTCCTCTCAATATGTTGTGTAACTGGTGATAATTTTGCCCGAGAAGCATACTCCTCTTTGGTTATCAACGAACAAAGAGTTTTCCTTAAACCATAAAAGTTTTACTCTCGAACAAGTGGACCTCGCAACAACTCCGAAAACCTAGAAAAAGAATTAATATGGGCTTAGTCTTAAATTTGGGATTTAATTCTTTCTATAAATCTTAGTTATAATAGGGACTGAACTCTGACGGGAAAGCTCGAAACAAAACTTTTTCTTTGTACTAAATTTTGACGGGAAATCTGGTTACAAAACTTTTTCTTCGGCAAAAAAAGATAGCTCAACTCTACTGAGAGACAAGGTAAAGGTGTTTCAAGAATAATCTCGCAAAAAGAGAGCAACCAAGAAGAGAATGCTAGGCTAATTCCAACTTTTCTTACTTCAGACATTTCCTACAACAAGTTTTATGCATGAATAAAGTCTTACTAAATTTGCACAAAGGTGACAGCGTCCAGTCAGGAACCGAAATAAAGTGAGCGATGCGGCTTGGCGAGTGAAATCTTACGTAGATTCTCTCTAGTTTTAGCTGGAGAAGTTGTAATTGCGAAACCTTCATACTGGTTGACTGGATGACTGATGTGACTATAATGTACGTTTATACAGTTTTTTTTTTTTGGCAGTATACTGATTCCCAAGTGAAAGAGCGTGCAGCGAGACGCTGTTTTTTCCCCTGTGGTTTTCGCTAAGAGTCTTCATTATCAGTGATCCGTCACCTAAACCCGCCAATATTTTGCACGTCATAACAGAATTCACGAATTTAAGCTAGCCTTCTGAAGCCCTCCCTCCACTAATGTAAGTTTCAATTTCCTTTAAAGTGGCAAATTTGATTTAATTTAATTTTGTTATATGAAATTATTTCTATAATAAAACTGTATGATAACTGTAATAAAAATGAATTTTCTCGTTTTGAAATGAATTTAATATTAAAATCTAATTTTGGCAGTGAAGAAAATTGCACATAAAAAATTTACAGTTCTTTTTCACATAACAGTAGGCAGATGGCAGCGCCATGTATTGTCTGCCTTGCACTTTACTATAATACAAACATATATATAGGGTTATGCGATTTGGGGGTACGAAAAAAAAAATAATAAGCGATGACTTTCTTTATTTAGGTATCCTGCGAGTGCGAAATGTACCTCGTCGCTGAAGAAATTTTTTATCACAAAACCGTTGTCCGTTAATTGTTGTTCAAGTGCCCAGCCGACGTACGTGTATATACGGCTTTGTAAATGGTCGGCGGCTTCAGTTGCTGGACTTTGTATTTATGTAGGAGTAAGTCCATGTGAAAAATACGCCATAATGTGCGTTAGAAAATCTCAGCTCTTGAGATCGTCGATATATAGCAGCATTCGTGTTTTCGGCTACTCTTTCACTTACAGCAGTGACATTTGGGGTGGATTGAGCAAAATTATGATGCACAGCCCTTTCAATAGCTGTTACCGATCTAATCTCTTCAAATTCAAATTTCCGAATTGCTTGAGTGTTGGACGTTTATGTGCACCATAATCTTTTATTAGAACAAGAAAGGCTTAACAATTTTAACGCGTCGTGCGGTTATTAAGGGATTAATTTTTATTCATTTCTGACTTTTGGCTAAAGGAGAACATATCTGGCTGCATAGTTAACTATGACAGATGTCAAAATACGACAATGTACTTCTGAAACTTGGAAATGAATAACCCTAAACATACAATACAGATTACTAACGAAAAAATATTTGTCCATACCTGTGTGCAGGCCCATATAAAAGATAGTGGATTTTTCACTTATTTATAAGGATTTTCTTAATTTTTTTATTTTATTTATGTTTTAAGAACTTTTGTCTATAGTTTTATTTTTAATTTCTCAAATTGTTTTATAAACAAGAATCAAATTAAATAAAATTTAGTTAATTTATAGCAATTGGCTTATGAACATCATTATTTATAAATCAATATGATGTATTAATTTAAATATTATTAACAAATTATGAAGATAAGAGATCTGAGGCAGTTTGAGTTAATGGAATTTTTAACTTATATCTCATTTCAATTTCTTTCATATTCGTGATTTTTACATATGAAAGTTTTCTCGCTTCAGCTTTTTTTTTACTTCTTCACTGCGTCCTTGCAACCATGCGGAATCACTTGATTTAAGTGCTGTGAGTAACACTTAAACAGCGCATAATAATACAAAGCACTTTTTCAAATACATTGTTATTGTTTTTCTCTTTCTTTTTCTCTTTCACTAACATTGTTTTCATTTTTTCTTGGTAAGCACATGCATTTGTTGCTGTTACTGCTGATATCGTCTTTCGTTATTACATACAAATTCTTAAGATTACTGGAAAATGTAAAACAACAGAAAACTCGCAAAATACCTTAACCAACGATATCATGTTGCTAACACTGAAAATTTCAAGTTCATTTCCGTGCTGCTGCTGCTGCTTCTGTAAGCAGTGAGTTCGAAAAGCGAAAATTCACTCACACATACATATACTCGTATACTTGTTTGTATAAACTGGAATTTTTGCACAAGAACATGTATATTTACATATGTATCTATAAAAGCAAGTACTTTTTCTAGCAGAACCGTTTGTTTTGTGGCAAGTAATGAATATCAAGTCTGGTGCATTGTCACACTAGAATTATTTTACCATCATTCATAGTGACTTTGACGGTAATGTTTTGTCTTGCATACACTGTATATTAAAGGTTAAAATTTCAAGTTCATCATTGCTTGCTTTGAAGGTATTTATACCGATAAAAAATTTTGCGGAATGGCGATTCATCGGCGGTTAGAAAGAGCGATTTTCAACCCAATTCCTCCTCAAATTTGCGGTGTGCATCTTGATGTGTTTCCAATTGGAAGGACCTGTGGTTTGCTTTTAGTCAAATCCGAACGTCCGATGAATTTATGGAATATGAACAGCTTTAATTTTTATGTCAGAAATTCGTTCGAAAAGCTATATATTTTCTACTAATGGGTAACCACAACTACAAAAATTAACTAAAGTATTTTATTTAAATACAATCAAATTCCCAATGCCAAAAAGCTGTTTAATTCCGCTCAGTCTTTGATCTAGTAAAGCACGATTAACTGCTTTTTAAGCAAGCAAGACCCTATGCTCAATATGCCTCGCATACTTTTAGGCAATAGGTTTTGCTCCCTGTCATGTAAGTGCAATTCTCAAGTGTACAAAGAAGTGATAAAGTAAAGGTGCTAAGCTCGTGGTGATTGGTAGATCTTTGAAAGCTTACATACCGAGATTTTTTACAGCACTAAGAAGGGCTGAAACATGTCAGTTTCTAGGTGGTGTAAGCTTGGATTGCAAAAGGGAAATGTTAATGCTCCCCTAAGAGTCAAATGGCTCGGCATATAAATTTAAGGGTAACATCTGTTAACATCTTTCCCAACTCTTAAACATCCTCTCCCCCTTAAATCCCCTCATAAAGCTCAGCTAGCCGTCATATGATGCACAAGGCTCTTTCTCCAGCGCTTTACTCATAGGTTATAAAAAATAAATTCAAACAAGAAATAAAACATTTTTGAAATAAATTAAAAATTTTTATTTTCCGTTTTTCTCTTCAACTTTTTCTCTCTTAGGTCATAATTAAAGTTTTTAGCCTTTAGTTTCCGAAACATTCGTAAATTTTTTTTAAAGCAAACATAACCTTCATTACGCTTATTAAACATGTCTAAAACATTACAATCATTTACTATAAGCTTAGTCATTAATTTAGAGTCTGTGTGAACAACCTGTATAAACTTATTGTCAATTAATAGGGTACCTAGACATTGTATATGATTATGAACGGTTGATTTTAACTTCTCTCTAATCTCACGGCCAATTACATGACGATCCGATTCGATTCGAAGCCTTGATATCGTCATCATCAACTTCACTTGGCCGATCTAAATGTGGCTTTGTCTGAGTGAAAAATCTCCCGAACGGAATTCGACAAACTAACTTCGACAATGTGCTTCTTTAAGTTTAATGAAGATTTTCATGAGGTTTATTTTGTTGCAGGCAGCGGTTTACTTGTTAAAATGTTCTCAATTAGCGAATGGACTGTCTGTGTGAACGACTTTTTACCAAATATCAGCAAAACTAAATCTGGCTATCGGCATATTGTAAAGTGAATGAATAATAAAAGTATGCGTTATTAGGTTAATGAAGGAAATCAGCACGGCAGATACACTTCTTTCTCAAGGTTAGACAAAACAGATTTTTCCAGGAACCAATCTGCTGCTTAAGTTATTTGTTTAGAGGCAGGCTGCACTAATGTGAAGTTAGCAGTCAGCTTGTCGCAAATCAATACAAATTGTAACAGAGATGGAGCGAAAAACAAGCAAGAATACGGAGGACATGAGATAATCATGATCCTGAAGATAACACGGCACGGTAGAGTGCTGTTCTTAAAGTTACTGCAACTGCCCTAAACTAAGTAAAATAAAAAGTGGAAACTCTGAATCGTTAAGGACTTTCTAAAATGCGTATCTCATGCTACAGATACTCCACCATATTCGTTATAAAATGAAAGTGAATAGATAAATGTCCAAAAGTGAAGTCAGAATCATACCTTGGCCTGTGTCCTTGTTTCCACTTTAACAGACACTTCTAATTAACTTTATGTATTTAATGTAATATTTATTAAAGCCTCTTCGAGCACTCTATATAAAATTTAAGAACATAAAAGTAAAATATTTTCGAATAAAATCATACTTAATACCAGATAATTAGGAACATTTACAAAAAATCCGCACATTTAAGCATCAACTACAACTAATTTATATTTTCTTCTGCTTTTTATTCTTTTGCAGAACGAAAGCTGTTCGTTGGAATGCTCAATAAGAAACTGAACGAGAACGACGTACGAAAATTATTCGAAGTTCACGGCGCCATCGAGGAGTGCACGGTATTGAGGGATCAAAACGGACAGAGTAAAGGGTGTGCCTTTGTTACATTTGCCACTAAGCACGCGGCGATATCAGCGATAAAAGTAGTAATGCTATCGTTCCAAGGATATTAAATTCCTTGCCTCATTTACAAATTTCGCTCATCATTTCGCTGAATGAGAATTTCACTTTAATGAGCGACTAATTGGCGAAAAAGCGCAATAATTGTTATGCAATTTCCGCGCATTTCCGTTGCTTGTAGCAGCATCACTTGGCAACCGAAAACAATGAAATGGCAAACTAATCTATCACTTTTCTCTCATCTCTCTTCTCTATTTTTGTTTTTGTTTTCTTTTTTCTCTCTTTATTTGCGCACAGACTTTGAACCAAAATAAAACAATGGAGGGCTGTACATCGCCGCTGGTTGTGAAATTCGCCGATACGCAGAAAGAGAAAGAGCAAAAGAAGATACAACAAATACAAGCGAATCTGTGGAATTTGGCTTCGAACATCAATATACCGTTGGGTCAAACCGCTACCACCGTTTCGACGCCGATACTGCCGAATCCGCCGCAACAAGCGAGTCCGGTGTTGGGCGCTGATGCCATTACGCCGGCCTCACTGCAATTGCTGCAACAGTTGCAAGCGGTTGGACTGCAACAACAACTGCTGCAAGGTGCGTATCCGCAATGGTGACCGCCGTTTGTGGGCACTCTGCGGCTGATGGTGCTTGTACGCCGTGGGGTTGTTGTGTACTCAAGTATTTATGCCATAAACAGACACCCACACACACACACACACACACCCAGATGCACACACACAGGAATTTATTTATTTATTATAAGAGTGTTGGGAGTTTATTTTGTTGTTGTGCAAAGTGTAAAAATAAAATGAAAATATTTTCTTTGTTTCACAGGTTTGGGCGCCCAGACGAATACCGCGGAGACGGCAGCGGCAACAGCTGCCGCCGCAGCTGCTGGTTTGCTACCTCCGATGACGGTACAAAATTTGGCCGCCATTGCGGCCATGACACAACCCTCACTCACCAATGCTGCCACCAATCCGGGCAGTGCCCAACTGACAAACACAGCGGCTCTCTTATGTAAGTGCGCCACTCGCTTATTATTATTCCATATTATACAAATTGCATAATTATTATTTAAACTGAATGCGGTTTTCTGTGTATCAATTCATTATTTTAATACTCGACATGCGCTCGATGTACATACCTACATACAATTGTATGGAGTGTGCCAGTGTATGTGTGCATATTAGACCAGCTCGAAATTTGTTTCACGGCTTTTATATTCCATAACTGAGTGTTTATTTTTCTGAGCGTGGGAGAGTTAAACACTCTGAGAGAGATGCAAAATAATTCGGGCATTTTGGCGATAATTAATAATGAAGATTCCGTTGTATTTGGTTTCCTAACAATCGCTTCCGAAATCGTCAGGAAGCTGTTGTGACAGTCGCAAATGGCAGACTAAGCTGAGCTTTCTTCGAAAGGAACATTTGGGGTTTCATTTATATTATGATGAATTCCTCAAAAAGGTAAAGATTTCTTCTGATAAGACACTCCATTTTTAAACATAAAAGTAGTCTTGTCTAGTAGAACTGACTATTGCAAGTGACTTAAGTATTAGCATAGCTACAACTCCAAATCTCCGGACAATCAAACCTTCATCATAGTTTTGCAGATTCTAATCGAAGGTGCGATTATATGTCCCTCAAACCTACTTGCTAATTTTTTTCGCTTCGTTTTTTCGTCCTGTGCGGCATCACTTTCTGACAGAAATTTACTTCGGTTACTTTAAACAGGCTCTTATAGATCTTTTATAATGCCAGGTTGAAGGTTGAGTTTAATACGAGGTAAACTAGTCCATGGTGAGGGATAACAATGTTTTCGCTAAGTTTATATAGGCTTCGGAATCAAATTATGAAAGTCTTTTAATTTGCTGAACAACCAAGCTCATAGCAATTTAGGATGTGTTCTTAATAACGCCAGCAGAAGAATAAGTATTTTAAGGTCTCACTCATCTCTCATGCTGATAGCGAGTTAAACATATTTAGTGTGACCTGTAATTAGACCTATAACTATTCTGCAGTTCTTTCGAGACCGCATGAGCACTTGATCTTGGCGATCATATATGTCATTAAGGAAAACCATCTTACTCTGATCCTTCTTCTTGCTCTAACGTAAACTTCTTTTTTATGTGTTTATGTAATCAGTCGACAAATAGATCGCATTTTCGACTATCTCATCAACTATTACATTCCCCATAACTCTGAAACCCAATAGTTTACCCACAACAACTTTATTCATTCTTTATGTCTTCTGTCATGTCAGCTAGCTCACCAGATTTCATTAACACGAAAACCTCCGTCTGAAAATTACCCCATTAATTCGGAGTTTACTTATTCTCGACGGCCGCTATGTTAGCAATTTTTGCTTTTTCATTGGAGATGTTGCAAGTTCCGTAGTCGGACATCATGATTCAGCACCACCCGTTCTTCTTTAACGTTGCATGGAATCTCCTTTCTAAGTTAAGGCTAGGTATGAAGTCTTTCTCGTCCACCATTTCCTTACTTATGGAGTTGCTCCGAAGATTCTATAATGGGCAGCCGTTTGAACAGTTCTTAGCAACCTCTTTAAGCAGAGCTCAACGAGAAGTCAAATGATCTTCTTAAATAATCAATTGCAGAGTAAGAAAAATCTCTAACGTTAGAAGATTGAGTAATCTAATAATATCTAACGACATCATCCCAAAATTTTGTCAAATGTCAATTGAGCGGAGAGGAATGCTTTCTATCAAATTTGTGATGTCTTCGAATATTCTTAAGAAATAAATTATCGTCGTTCGTTTGTTATCGTTTGTTATCCATTATATAATTTGTAACAGCGCTTAATGCTCTATTGGACTTCCTTGTAAGGTGTTCCTACATGTGTAATGATCTTATCTCGCTGCTAAAGATGAAGTACCAAATGAATTTGAGATTTATATACCACCAAGACCCTTCAAGCTGGAAGAGTCCCATTTGTATTACAGAAGACGGCTAAATAAGTCAGCGAATTGTAGAATCTGGCGAAGAAAATTAGTTTGCTCATGGATGCAACAAGGAAAGTACTCAACATTGAGATAGGCATCTTCTGACGATGCTGCTAATGGAGTTCCCTCTTCGCTTTAAAAAGAACAAATTTTTATGTAGCGGTCAATGCATGAGTCTCACCAGAGATTTGCCATATCAGATCGAATTCCGGGGCTAATATGACTAAAGTGTATTAGTCTTTCGTGGTTTTGCAGAGTTTTATGGGATGCGTAGTATAACAAGGGAGTGCAAAAGAGAGCTCACTGTAAGAACGCTACTCTAACTCGCTGCTAGTGATACCTTCAAAAACTTCAAAATTTCTCAAAACTCCAGAAACACCTTTTACAACCAGCAACTGCAGATCAGGGCTAATGTAACATATCACTTAACTATGTTTGATAGGACTCTCACCTGTCAACTTTATGCCTATATATACATACATACATATATGCATATGTATGTGCAGCACATGCCTACCCACGCTTCTTATGCATGCATTATTTTCCGATTTTTTACCAAATATACATATGAAGTATGTATGTACATGTGCACGAGTATGTATGTTCGGATATTTTTATGATATCCGTTGAAGTTAACTGACAGGAAGGTGGCAATCGTTTTAAAGGCTCTCGGCACAGTGACATGTGTCATTGTTAATCCTTAATAAAAATTAAAAACACGCAAGCAACATATCGATTACAGGTGATCCGCAATCCGCAACCCGGAGCTTGTAGACCGCCGTACGCAATGTCGTGCATCATCCAACCATCAGCGGCCTCATCATTAAAACTTTTGCGTGCATTATTTTACTCGTGTTTGTATTTGCATAGTACCGCAACGCACCCACACACACACACACTTACCCATAATATTCTATAATATTATATGTTGTATATCTTTGTTTGTACAGGTGTGGGTGTAATGTGCATAAATAAGTAAATGTGTATTGTGTTGGAAGAAAATATATGCGCTGGCTCAAAGACACGTGGTTTGTTGACAAGCTATTAATCGGATTTCATTAATGAAATATTAATATTGGCGTCAACGAGAGCATTGACAGTTATGTCACGAATGCAACGCATTTTTATCTCTTTTATTATCTTTACAGTTAAATGTATACAAATACAGCGTATAGGGGATGTGCCGGGGTTAGTATTAAAGTTTAAGAGCATTCGCAATAATATATAGATGACCTGTATAATTATCGTCAGATTAGATTAAAGCAGAGGAGCATAGTCACAACTATAGTCTCCATATTGTTCCATCTCGTTATCCCGTAGACAGCACCCTAAGCACAAAACATTCTGTTTTTTATCCCATACAGCACTGGTTTGAATTTCGGTCCATTTGTGAAGTTAGGCGATGCTAGCAGCATCGTCTTACAGTTTTCAATACGTTGAGGTTATTTATACGGAGTTGTAATTTAATATGAATGACTAATATTGCCATGGGAATCTCTATTTTCTTTTTATGTTATTCTATCTAATAATTATAGTGGACTTACCGCGAAAAGGTTGAATTATAGTATACAGGCAAAATCATACAGGAAATCGAACAATAGGAAAAGGGTGATTAGATTGGACGGGTTTAAAGAGCATGCAAAAAGGAGGTAAGTGGCGTCTCATTGCAAGCGGGGTATATTAACGTTGGATAAGTCGGCCTCACTCGTATCAAGGTCGATCATGCAATGAGTGGTGGTATGGTGAATGGAGCTTAAAGCCAGTGGAAAAGCCAACCTGCCCTTTGCACATTGTGTTGAGCGCAGCCTTTGTTGTCGAGTACTCTCTTCCTAATGGCAAGTCTCACGATAGCATGGTCTATGCACCGGAGATTAACCAAATTTAAAGAGCCACCCTACCCCGTTATGATTAGCAAGTAACATTGAGTAGAGTAAATTTAAGTTTCACAATCATATGTAGACATTGATAAGCTTCGGCTTTTCGTGGACTGTTGTTCACAGCTATGAGCTTTTTTTAATATATCTGTTATCTTTCAGTACCTGTTCATATCTGGATATAAGCGAATTACTTGTTCTATTGCAGCGGGGCCGCATTAGCCAAGTGATAATCATTGCGTACTGCCATACGTAATGCTTAGATTCAAATCTTGTTGTCGTACAAACAGAATCAAAAAAAAAAAATAAAAAATAAAAAATTATTTAAGTAAAAAATTAAGATAAATTCTCTTAATGCGGCCCCTCCGAGCGAACTTCAAAAAAAAAAAAAAGAAACAATCAGCCGTTCGGAGAACTCTCTATCTGCGCGCGCTTCGAAGCTTATTTTTGGCTTAATGGCTGCGTAAATAAGCAGAATTGTCGATTTTGCATCCAGGAATAGCCACAGTTTGTGTGGTTTATGGGCTAGTGGCATCATAGGACCGTATTTCTTCAAAGATGATGTGCGATCGTAACGTAACTTAAAAGATGAGGGCTACCATGAGATGATATCAAACTTTTTTTTGCCCAAAATGCAAGAGCTTGACTTGCGTGACATATAGTTCCAACAAGACGGTGTCACATGCCACAAAGCACGCGTAACCATGGACTTATTAGGAGGCGAGTTCGGTGAACATTTTATCTGACATTCGGGACCGGTAAATTGGCCCCATAGATCGTGCAATTTAATGCCTTTCGACTACTCTTTGTAGGGCTATGTCAAATCTAAAAAAAACCATCAGCTGTTCGGAAGCAGCTAAGTATAAACTGTAGATCCCTCAATTTGTTGGAAAAACATCGATAGGCAGCACCACAAATTGGAGGAGGAGCTCGGGCGAAAATCGCTTCAGCGGTTACAAAGCGCCAATTATATATATATGTTAAATCTTACGTCTATAAAGGCAAGCCCGCTTCAACTGACGCATTGGAGGACAACATTGAAGCATTTATTCGTGAGAAACCGGCCAAAATGTTGGAAGCAGTACGCCAAAATTGAGCTAAGCGGATGGACTATGACTGCCCCGGTCAATATTTTCATGATATAATATGAATTTTTTTTTAACTTTATGTGTCTTTTTTTTGGAAAACTTTCTTATAGCTCTTAAAAAATCACCCTTTAAAGCCGTGTCTTGCTAATTTTCCGAAAAACGAGGTGAAGTAATTCAATTTCAAGCAAATCGATTCAGAGTCTAAGATTATTTAAAACAATCAAACGCACCTTTAGTCTTGATATTAGTATAAAGCAGATTAGTGATTTTTCGGCCTGAAAGACTTAGTGAGCTCACAAAAATGTATAGAATTTATTATATATATGTACATATATAAATTTATATATATATTTTAAAGTACCCCTTCGTGCCCCTCGTCAATTATGGCTCTACCTTGTCTCACACACCTTTATTCTATCACTGTAATATGATGTCCATATATTAATTATATACATATTTATAAAGACAGACGCTCATACAAACAAAGCCAAGCTAAACTAAAAACAAATATATTTGGTTTGCCTAAAAATTCTCTACCCATTTGTAGGAGATTATCAAGCAACTTTCTCCGTATTTGTGTATGTGCGTGTGTGTGTCTATTTGTTTTAGTAAATAATTTTAGTCAATATTTCTTCGTGTAAGCCAACTTAATAAATTAGACGACGTGCCCGCATGTACAAAAATACGCACATACAGATTATATGTATCTTCTGCACAATTTCCACCAATTCCACAAACAACAAATATTTATTTAACGTCACCATCAACGACGTTGGCAAATTAATGAAGCAACATGCCGCAAAATCATAGTCTACGAATAAGCGAAGAACTCAAATACGTACAAACATGCATACATATGTATGGAAGAGTATGAATGTATATAGCCATATTACGGCTCGTTGCACGCGGCTACACCTCAACGCACAAGCAATGTGCGAAGCAAGGAAAAATTGAACTCTTTACGTATGAAATTGGCAGGCGAAGCTTTGAGCATGGATGCCGCCGTGATGCCCACCTTTAGCCCGCGCTATCATAGTCCTACTCTTACTCATCCTACTCTTAGCCATCTTCCTCCTTTCCCGTTTCCAGTGGCCACTTTGTCTTTGTATTACCTTTTGTGTTTCTGCTTTGCTTTGTATTTGTATGCTTTAAGTTCACCGTTGTCTATCTGTGTTGCCGCGTGACTTTATGTACATTCTATACATATGTTTGTATGTAAGTGTGCAAGGTGTGTGTGTGTGTGTGTGTGCATATACTTTGTGCTTGTTGTTCGCAGCTGCCCCCTTATACCTCATACACCAACCCCACCTACGCCAGCGCTTGTTAACCCTCAACCGTTGTTAAGTTTTGAAATGATCTAATTTCCTTCTTCCGGCTTCCAATTCACCGGAAATATCTTCGTGGCCATAGTTCGGTGTTTTACTCAATTTTTCCTTTCCGCCATTTGCCGCCGCGTCATTGTGGCAATTACTAACGAGTGGTGGACCACTTGATTAACCGCCATCTTAAATGAATGAAAGTGCTATTGAGCGAACGGTTGTGTATATATATATATATATATATATAAGTATGTATGTGTGTATATACTTATTTGTTTGTAGTGTCTTGCCATTAGTACTTTCTAATCCTGGTGAGTATGCGTGTACCTCCAGCGCTATCGATTTTAGATCCAATTTTCGTCCTCCCATCATTTTGGTGTCATTCAAGGCTTCGATTATTTGGAAATTAGTTCGTTAATAAGTTTCCAAACTTTATTTCGGCAATCCACGGTCAGAAAGATAGTTGCTCCAACTTACATTTGATTCAATAAATAATTGAGTAATTTACAAACTTCTCCACACAGATAATCGATTTGAGTTACTCACATTTTATTTTTATCTGACTTTTTGGATATGTAGTAAACTTTTTAAGTAAATATATTAATAGGGCAGTATACGTGTATGGGGGATAATAAAAATTAGTTAATATTTAATGAACCAATAAACCGGAAACAAGTACTCTAATGTATGTTTGTATAAATATTTGAAGAGGAATTTAGTAGGGTGAAAATCATAAGGAGGGCATTATCCCTAAAATAAAAGTGTTTTTCATTGAACTGGAACGTCGAGGAACGAATAAAGAAAAACCGGATTTGGGTGGTGCCGAAAATTTAAATATTCAAGGGTTTAAATGGTTTTAGATAGGAGTTTTTGCGGATATTCCTAGCATATTAAGATTTTATACCAATTTTGTGGCAGACCAAAAGGACGTTGAAATGCTTTCCAAGTTGATTAAGGCAGCTTGTTTTGTTACTAAATTAACGATATATTCGTGTCTTTCATGCTATTCGAAACTCAAATTCGCTCGTAGATTAGGCTCAGCTACGTTTCCATTGATGTATCCAGGATACTCGTTGCTTAACTTCGCTTCTCACTCCTTCAGCAGCGGTATTCTTAAAAGTTGTATTGGACTATTTACATAGACATCCAAAATATTTGGCTTTTAGATAAGAATGATGGACTCAAATACCAGAATGTGCCTTTCAGGAAAAAAAAAATTAAATGATAATCAAAAGGGAATAAATCAAGTAAAATATTGGGTGCATGCATTAATTCGTGCGTTTTTTTTTCGAAAATTAATACTTTATTGTGTAAAAATGATTTTAATCGTCTGGAAATGGTTGCTTGATCAACTCCTAATACTTTTGCAAATTCTCCTTGCGTCTGGCATGCATCTGCGTCGAGAAATGTCTCCAATTATTAGCCCTGAAATTTCTTTGGCTATCCGGGTCGTTCTCCGTCGTCTAAGTAGAAATTGCCACTTTGGCTTTCGGTAGCACTTGTGTTCATTTTAAAGTAATGAAGAAGAACTCTCGGCAAAAACACTTTATCTGGTACAATTCTAGAGATTTTCAAATGAATGAAACAAATTGTTGTTCACGCTAAAACAAATGACATTACTGAAAACGATGCAAAATTACAGTACCTTTGAAATGAATATAGTCAGAGATGAACACGGCGCGAAATAATACTAGCAGAGCCCTCTCTTAGAAATCCACACGCAATTAATACGTACTCCTAGTAATAGAATCAATTCTGTTTTTTCCATCGGTTATTGAAGCAACGGGCGTATATTACCCACAAAAAGGCGTGTCAGCATGATAAATTGTTGCGATTATCATATATCATATTTATCAACGAAATTTCCTTCCCGAACGCCGCATAGAGCCCAGTTAATATTATTTAACGGTTTGACCTTCTGACAAAATATTACCTCATTGAAATCTATAGGTCTAAGAAAACACCGTAAAATTTTATTTATAAAAATCCGTTTCCGTTTCTCAAACTCCAAAGTTACCAACCGATTGACTCGAAATCTCCTCAGATTATTTCAATGTTTCTTGGGAAGGTTTACACGAAAAATAGTTCCTAGAAGTTGTTCTGGGACTGAAAAACAATCTTATGTCCGTTTGTAACGAGGGTTCGCGAAATGTTATTGACCGATTTACTTGAAAGTCCGTTAGATTGTTTCTATGGTACCGGGAAAGGCTTATATGAAAAAAAATTAGGAATAGTATCAGAGGCTGGTCTTTTGGCAAAAATTATATTTATAGTCCAATTTACTTGAAACTTGCTCTTTGTTTAGTTTAACAGGAAGACTACTTTTCTACTTGTATGGAAATATATTATTTGTATATATATTATAATGTATGCAAAAAATTGTATGGTGACCTTTTCGAAAATAATTTATTTATCGTTCGGTTTAAGTAAAATTCGTTGAATACGTGATTCTTTGCTTAGATGAGCAGGGAAACTACTCCAAAGTAATGCTACGTTTGCGGAATATTAAATATATTTTTGGATTTCTGGTACATTTTGTTATAAAAAATTATATTTTAAATATTATATATATATATAATTACAACAAAAAATTAATTTTTATGCATAAAAAATTAGTTTCTTGTACAATTAGTAATACATTTATTGCTGCGTTTCTTCGGAATGTTCTTGTAGGAATATATTCTGAAACTGGGTTCTGAAGCTGATAGTTTTTGCTTCGAAAATTCACAGCATTCACTTTTAAGATATTCTTCTTTTTTTAATTTATATGCAATATTTGCATTATCGCTTAAAATAATATGCATAGAATTTTTTTTTTGCTTCTTCTTTCGAAATTTTTATTGTGAACTTTTATTGTTTCCTCTGAGTAAATTTTAACATTTAATAAAATTTTAATTACAATATTTTAGCAAATCCTTAAAAATTAAAAAAAGATAAATATAACCAAGAATTACTAATAAAATATTCTACTTTTCATCTAATTACATGCAACGCTTGGTATGCGCTTGTAGGTCTCTTAGGAAAAACCGCCAGCTCAGGTGAGAACTGAAAAGTGTTGTATGTAAATATGTATTTTTTTAAGTTTTTTTCCATTTTTTCGTTTTTTTTAACTTTTTTTTAATTTCCTGCTGCTAATTTAAATTTCATATAAACGTAAATTATAAGTCACCATCTGTGTGTCTAGTTTCGATTGTCTCATTTTCGTTACTCTTGCCTTGCGAAATGTAACTTTTACCCATTACATATGTACTCGTATGTATGTACATTGTATGCGTTTTGACTAACTATCGTTTTACGTTTTTTCATTCACTTTACTTCATCATTTTTTAAGCACCGAATTTTTTTTTTAGAAAAATTTACTCTTAGTTACCGTGAAGAAAATCCGTATGTTTAATGTCAGTGGCAAAACAATTGTGCACTTAAATTATATTAACTCATTGTAAGAAAAATCATAAGAGAGCGCGGAGAGTAGAGAGAAGAAAAGAGCGTCGAAAGTGCAATGGCAGGCAAAAGGAAGAATAAAGGAAGCAGCAAACGACTTTGTTTCTGCACAAACTCACACGAATAAGGTAGTAAAATTCCTGCCAAGTCATAAAATTAAACGAACCACAACAAAGGCGATAATACAGACAAAAAAATGTGCAAAATGAAATGAGTAGTAGGGGGAACAGGAAATATGTAGTTGAACGAAATAGATGCCATCAGAGTTGCCAACTGCAGTTAAACCTAATAAATTATGAGATTTGCGCATAAATTGATATTTTTCAGTGCAAAAACTTGCTAATTTTGATTTAAAAAGCTTTGTATTTGGAATTATCTTTTCAGAAGGCAGCGTAAAATAAATAATTTTGAAGTTCTTTTGAATCTTGCAGCACAATATTTATTAAATAAAATTCAAATTTATTATTTTATTTCCCCTTTTGTGATTGTGAGAGTTAGAAAATTATTCTTTCATAATAAATAAAAAAAGAAATCATTGTTAGCTGGCAATCATACACCATCCAGCTACATTTATAACCGCCAGCAATGCGCGCATCATCCTGAACAATGAATATGAAAATATCAAATCGCAAAATACATATGGAAGCATTGGTAGTTGGCTAGTAGTTCGTTATGGGTGAGGAAAAAAATTAAACTGCTAAAGAGTCGAAAGTCGTGCAAGAAAAGAGCAGTAGAAAGAGTATAAAGAAAAAAATTAAGAGGAAAAAATATGAAAGTCAGAAGGTAAAATTACAAGTTGCACTTTTGTCGAATTAACAGTACGGAACTCATTGATGCCACTAGTAAAGCTAGTTGGTTGCCAGGGTTGCAGCCACTTAGTAGTGAATATATAGAAAAAGAAGCAATTACAGTCCATATGCAGTGACTGGAAATTTGTACGCAGGTGGTAGGGAGTAGAAAAATATTTATTGCGCAATGTATAATATAATATGAATGGTTACTACACCTTTGCATGAAAGGTGTACTCAAAATGGATGAGAGAGTACTCCATAATTATCCACAATACTTATCAAATATTATAATATTAGGTTGTAAAATATCTCCCTTCCGCTTTCTTGTCTTTTGAATTTCGCGGCTATGTACAAGGCGCTACAGAGCTCGTATCTGGCAACACTATTTATAATTGAAAGGTCTTCACATAACCTACAAAACAACGCTATGCATGATTAGTTTGGATATTGCGTTCAACAGTTATAGACGTGTAAACATGGAGTTCACTAACGCCGAATTTCGCGCTGTTTTAAAGTTTTCCTTCGTTAAAGGCAAATCCGCTAGAGAAACGTTCCGTGAGATTAATGGTGTTTTGGGGGATGGTACTCTATCACTTCGAACCGCGGAGGAATGGTTTCGACGATTCAGAGCCGGTAAAAACGACACCATGGATAAGACAGCCGGCGGAAAACCTGTGACGACAAATACCGATCAAATCATGGAATACATAGAGTTAGACCGGCATATGGCATCTCGTGACATCGCCCAGGAACCATCTGCAGAGGGCTGGATACAAAAAAAAGTTTGATGTTTGGGTGTCGCATAATTTGACGCAAAAAACCATTCTGGACTGAATCAACGCCTGCGATATGCTGCTGAAACGGAACGAACTCGACCCATTCTTGAAACGGATGGTGACTGGCGACAAAAAATGGATCACATACGACAATATCAAGCGAAAACGGTCGTGGTCGAAGGCCGGTGAATCGTCCCAAACAGTGGCCAAGCCAGGATTGACGGCCAGGAAGGTTTTGCTGTGTGTTTGGTGGGATTGGAAGGGAATCATCCACTATGAGCTGCTCCCATATGGCCAGACGCTTAATTCTACCATTTACTGCGAACAGTTGGACCGCTTGAAGCAGGCGATCGACCAGAAGCGTCCAGAATTGGCCAACAGGAAGGGTGTAGTGTTCCACCAGGACAACGCCAGACTACACACTTCGCTGATGACTCGTCAGAAGCTACGAAAGCTCGGATGGGAGGTTTTATCGCATCCACCATATAGCCCGGATGTAGCGCCAAGTGATTACCACCTGTTCCTGTCCATGGCGAATGCACTTGGTGTTGTGAAGTTGAACTCAAAAGAGGCTTGTGAAAAGTGGCTGTCTGAATTATTCGCAAATAAGGAGGGGGCTTCTAGGAGGAAGGTATTAACAAAACAAAACGGCGGATATTTTAACTATATCCGATCACTGTAACACTTTTTATAAAGCATTGAATGAAGAGCAAAAAAGCGGAAGTGAGATATTTGACAACCTTATATAAAATATAAGCTCCAATTAGAATGGCGATGTCATAAGGTAGAGTCATATACTCCACTTTTGCTTAACATAGAGTACTCATGTATGGTAGACAATATAGTTTCGTTTGAAAGTACTACAATAAATGATTGAATATTTACCTGAAAATTACAATATTTATTTTTTGTTAAAAGTATTAAGTAAACTAAAGGCCTGATTTGTTTGCACGATGTGAATATTTTGTTATACAACAAAGAAAAATGGTTGAAGTGACAGCTGATTTGGAGATCACCACATCTTCTCATCAGACTTCTTATGATAGGGATAGAACCAACGGATCCTGACTTAACAGGCTTGTGCTCTACCACTGCACCATCTGTTGTTAAATTTCAATTCATCATTAATCAACAACTATTAAGTGCGCTAATTTAGTCGCTATTTCCTTAATAGCTTTTGGAAATTTGGTAGAAAGGATAAAACATGAAGACATCTTAGTAGTCAGCAGTTATTTGGGTGGAAGGCATGCTCACCGTAATACCTACAAGCATTTACATTCTCTCTTGCGTGCCAAAATGTTTTCTTTTTCTCACGATTTTTGAGAAACTTCCGATATTAAATCAAAGCGAACATAGTTCTACTTTGACTAATATGTCTTGGTATCCCGATGAAACCTTCTATCCCACGGAATACGTTATTAATTAAGACAAAATTAAAATTGTTCTCATTTCAGTAGAAGATTGAAAGCTAGTTAGTAAACTTCACTTGAAAACGATAGGTCTTAATACATATACCGTCAGTTGAAGCCGCTGTTGAGTATTTCACCTTCGAAATTCACTCTGAATGACCTAAATTTAAAATCGAAATTATTTGATATTTCGAATTCTAAGAGGGGATACTGTGTGGTAGTCATTATTATTTATGACACGAGGTTTATTTGAAAACACTTCAAGCAAGGATAACCACACCATCTCTCATAAAGAAATATACTACGTTATTTTCGTACTTTTAATGCCATTTTTTAGATACGCTTCCTGTAACACGTATCACTGCATTTATTTCAACTTGACGTGTGGCGTACTGACATTCAGAGAGCCAGGGCTTGCGTTCTAGTTCAACCAACTTCTTAAATAATTGCAAATCCATTTCAATAATTGTGGTCGCCCTACGACATTAATTTAAACCTCGTCATAAAATTCCTTCGGCCGTTCGGAGGTCATGGGTCTCTTCATTTGTTGGAAAAACAACAAATCACATACCACAAATTTGAGGATGCTCTAGCGATAGTCGCTTAAGTTGGTACAAATCACCAACTAACTACACACACCCCTTCATAACGAATTTATAATTTTTCCGTTTTTTCGTAAATTAAAGTGTTTTGACTATCTGACTGCCGATTCTGACTTTTATTGCCCGAAAGTTGCAAACAAACTTTAGTGAAGGCTAGCAAGGTATCTCGAACTCTAACATTTACTAATTAATTGCGATGGAGTCTTTATTGAAAGAGTTGAAATGTAGCTTAGAGCATAACAGTGCATGTTTTGAGCTGAAACATCATTGAATCGAGTACTGGAAGAAACAACATCTAGAAATGAAATGAAGGGATTGACAATATTTTAGCGAGTATTTATTATATGCAATCATTAGCTTCACATAGTAGCCGGCATCTATATTGAGGTAATTTTAGGAAATTATGGATTACATAAATAAATGTGTCTTGTTATTAGATCAATGTATGACTTTTCACATTTTGCCTACGCTTAAAGGATATAAAAAGATGCTTTGGACCTAATACCAACAAAGGTGATGTGAGGATATATAAAAGTATATGCCAAAAAAGAAGTTTAAGCTATCCTTTCAGAATTTATGCAATGATTGTAATGTCCATTCTTTCAATAGTGTCTCTTCTATTGGAAAATATTTTATGAAGACCTTATATCATTAACCAGAAACTTTTTCTACTTTATTATTTTGAGCCTATTTATAGCAGCCGTTCAGCTAATCTATAGACGCTCCATTGAAGATCCAAGTGGTACTCTCACGGTTGGTTACCCCGTCAGGATAGTCAAAACTATTCTTGATATTATCCTAACGGTCGGTTGAACTTTTCGTTATTATACACGTATGCGAACGAATTTTGAGTTATGAGAAATGAAAAAACTGTCCTGAGAGAGGAGGTCGATAATTACATAGCTCATTTACGGGATACAAACAATTCAAATTAATTTTATTCATACACTCTTCTGCGTGATACAATAATTTAAAGGTGGTTTCGATCTCTCTTCGCAGTCGGCTTCATAGCTATCTGA